GAGGCTAGGGACACCATCCCTGCCCATCCTGGCTAATAGCCATTGTTGGACCTATCCTCCATGAATTTATCTAGTTCTTTTTTGAACCCTGTTATAGTCTTGACCTTCACAACATCCTCTGGCAAAGAGTTCCACAGGTTGACTGTGCGTTGTGTGAAAAAATACTTCCTTTTGTTTGTTTTAAGCCTTCTGCCTATTAATTTCATTTGGCGGCCCCTAGTTCTTGTGTTATGAGTAGGAGTAAATAACACTTCCTTATTTACTTCCTCCACACCAGTCATGATTTTAGACCCCTATCATATCCCCCGAGTCGTCTCTTCCGAGCTGAAAAGTCCCAGTTTTATTAATCTCTCCTAATACAGAAGCTGTTCCATACCTTTTCTGAATCATTTCCAATTCCAATATATCTTTTTTGAGATGGGGCGACCACATCTGCACACAGTATTCAAGATGTGGGAATACCATGGATTTCTATAGAGGCAATATGATATTTTCAGTCTTATCTATCCCTTTTCAATGATTCCCAGTGTTCTGTTCGCTTTTGACTGCCGCTGCACATTGAGTGATAGTTTTCAGAGAACTATCCACAGTGACTCCAAGATCTCTTTCTTGAGTGGTAACAGCTAATTTAGACCCCATCATTTTATATGTATAGTTGGGATTATGTTTTCCTTAGCATTTTGTTTCCCAACATTTACTTCTTGTTGACATCCTGGCAGTTGCCAAACATCTAATAAAGGTACATTGATGAAATATCTTAAGGCCATGTATGAATGTTTATGTGTTTGAACATGTCTTTAATGCAGCTAAACTTTTATCTGATCTTAGTGCTGTAAAATGTACTTTGAAAATGCCGGGTATACTGGCTTTAATGGCTGTCAAACTTCACTGGAAGATACACTTACAGCATATTAAATGCCAGGACTTGACCTGTTGGCTAGATAGCAGACACTTAACGTTGAGAAATGGATATTATGAAGTGAAACAGAGGAAAAAAATCCCTGGAGTTGATTTGAAAACTGATCTATTCATTAAAGTTTACATGAAGCTGAACATGTTCATGATGTAACTGCTAGCTCCATTGTATTTAAACTCCTCTTATTTAGTCTTTAGTTTTTATAAATAAATCCAATTATTTTTCAGGTGTCTGACCGACAAAGCTATCTTGTGATTTCTTTGGTTCTCAGTGTCATCCTGGGTTTGATGCTTTGTATGCAGCGTTGCAGAAATACATCTCAGTTCAATGAAGATTACCTCTCAAAAATCCCCAAAAGTAATCACTACCCAAGCCCCAAAAGGTAATCCCTGACATTTTAATCAATTCTTACGTTATATTTACACTTTATGTAGCATTTGATAGTTGCTCACTTTATTTCCATCCAGTTGAATGATGTTTGTCCATTTTAATTATACCAGTCTGTGCTTTTATGTAAATTCAGAAGTTTGGGTTCTGATAAGCAAAAGGCATACCCTTTTACATCTAGACTTCTATAAAAGAATAGTTCCTTTGAAGGAGTTTATACAAAGTAGCACCTTTTATTTGCAATAGGGTCTAACATCACTAATGTAGGAATGGGATCAGATCCTGGATGTGGAGAGAGAGCACTGCATCTCACTCTCCAGCAGCTTTCTTTGGCCATCAGAGCACCACTGGCAAAGTCCAGAGTAGTTTTGAGAAACCTTGCCATGGGGAAGGCTTGCTGCAGTGTGAAGGTGTAACACCGACAGAGCCCAGTCGCCGGCGGGCGGAATCGAACATGGAACGTCTGGAGCTAAAAGCCACATGGCTGTTAACTAAGGCTGTAGAGCAGTCTCTCTCTCTCTCTCTCTCTCTCTCTCAGTGGTCTTGGTGCTATGAGATGGGACAGAGCACCACACCCAGGAGGTGTGTGGGTTACAAAAATATAAGGAGTGGTAATGGGGGAAGGAAGTGGCTCCCAAGAGAACTCTGGGAAATGGAACTTATTGTGTTTTTTGTCATTACAGATGTTTTTCCTCCTATGATGATATGAATCTGAAAAGAAGAACTTCTTTTCCACTTGTCAGGTCCCAATCTTTTCAACTAACTAGCAAAGAAGGTATGTTTCATGTACAGCTAATTCTTCCTAGTGATGGTTGTAAAGTCTGTACCATATGAGTTATGCATTGTAGATGTATGATCATGTAGTTTATAAACCAGTTTCAAAAAAGGTAATCAAGAAGCACTCTACTTGTACACTACTGAAGTCTATCACTGTACATTGGGAAATACTGAATTGAAGTAGTTCAGTGGGTAATACTGTTTTTTTTATAGTCTCTAAAACAGAAATTTATAAAAGTTCTCTGAGTTCAGTGCAAAAAATCAATTGTTTAGGGTTACTACAGTGGAATTAACACAAGCTTTCATTTGAAAAAATAATCTTAGAACATTTTACAAATGTAAACAAAATGCTAACTACACAAGGTCAGGCACCTCAACAGTAAAAGCACTTTATTTTTAATATTTTAAAAGCAAACAGTGATGCTAAACAGATTATTTAGGAAAGAAGAGGAGAATAGCAAGCCATTGAAACTGCAGGGAAACTTTAGATGGGCAAAATGTAATAAAGTTGGAATTTGGTTATGACAGGGTCTAACACTCTTACAGAAATACTTTGATATTTATAAAGATAAATAGGCAGGACTTTGGTTTTAATGTCTCCTCCATCTTTGTACATTTGGGGCATTAGTTCAAAACTGACTGAGCGCATGCACCGTTTGAAGCCTCTAGCACAGTAATCCATTGGCCTGACCTTGTTTAGCTAGAAAGTGGAGGTCAGAGTGCTATGTGATACTACTGCACTATATGCTCACTTTAACATAAGACTCCTCAGCAAACCAAAAAATGTTAACTCCTTAATCTTGGAACTTTTAAAAAGAAATACAAGGAATGCTGCATGCTTTACTTAAAAAATAAATAAATAGAGAGAGAGAAACCGTTTGGCATGAGTTACACAGCTGAATTTGGAGTTTCAGAAGTAGACAAGCGTATTCTTTAAGGCAGTCATGAAACATTTTTTTCCTGTAAACCCTGAAATATAGTACTTAAGTTTTTGCTGTTCTAGATTAACATTGAGTTGGATTTCCATTTTTTGGTAGCAAGTGGATACTCTGATACCAGACTAGTAAAAAAATTCTCATTTGTCTTGTTCGTTTTTCTATGTCAGCATAGATACTGGCCAGCAACTATATTTCCAGTCTCTCTCTTTTTTTAATCCCCCATTTTAGTGTACATGAACCTATGTGGAAACTACTTCCTGCTTCAGGAGCAGAGTGTCAGAAAAGAAAAGAGTAAATCAGGAGAGTCCAGTGGTCAATCACCAAGCCTTGAAAATAATCAAGTGGGGGTAGAAATCAGACATTGCAGAGCTGAATTCTTACTCTAAATTAAATGGAGAGCACGTTTATATTTGGGAGTCTTAAGAAACTGGGTTCATTTTAGAATAGTATTGTCAACATTGAATAAACGAATTGTGGTTCAAAGAATATTGCCAAATATTTTTAAACTAAATGAGGGCACAGAATATGTAAACTAACCTCCTATATAAAACCTGTGTATAATTATAGACTTAACTTGAATTTGACTATTGTTATACCTAGTGCCTAAATGCTATGGTGGAAGTTTAATTTTTTTCTCAAAGTTCAAGATTTTCTGAAATGTGAGCCTAAATTTAAGCTCCTAAATAAGTGAGTACACAGCAGCTCCCATTCAATCCATACTTCATCAGAAATGTACACTTACAGTACTCCATACTCTGCAGAGAAGAATGTGCGTTGTTAAATCAGGCATCTGGTTGAGTTTATATAAATTGGGGGATACTAAATTCAAAAAAGGTAATGTTCTGAGATTGCTGTTGAGAGTGTTTTTTCCATTCTTTTGGAGGTCCTTGATGATACTAAGTATACATTTACAAACCCCTCCATTACTCCCCACCAGCAACGGCCAAGCAAAAATATTGTAAACATGTTTTATTTGATATGTTCAATAATATAATATTAAATACCAAGGACTCTACCGTAGTTAGATTTACACTTCATATCTCCTAAATTTGGGGTCACTGTCTTTAAGGAGCTAACATCATCTGCACCTAGCTGTGGAATCTGCTGGTATGTTGCTATTTTTGGAGGATCACTTCCCCAGATCATGTATCTTCACTCTCTAGCACTCCAAAAGCGGGGGGAATTAGCTCATAACTAAGCCATATTATTCTAAGGGGAGCTCTGGAAGGAAAAATCTGAGCCTGATAGAATGTTGACCTTAACTTTAATTTACACTTGTCAGTATCCACAACTCTCTATGTACTAGCATGTTTACAGTTTGTGTGTGTGTGTGTGTATCTGAAAAAAATAAATCCAATATAAAATATAGCATTCTATAATATGTTGATTTGTAACAACCCTGAAGGAGTTTAGGTTCCAAAAACATTTTCTTCAATGTTTTGGCTGCCCAGCTTGAGACCATTTAAAAAGATCATAACTCTCGGTGGTGCTGAACACATCTTAAAATGGCACAAGCTGAGCAACCAAAATATTAAGGCGTCCAATTTCACTAGTGACTTTGCCTCTTTCACAGATGAAATCTTTTTTCCAGCTTTCATGTTAAAGGAAAATGGAATCCAATTTCCTCAGATCAGCGCCCTGCTAAAATAAATGAAGTGCTGCTAATCGCCAATTAACGAAGAAATTGTGCTTTTTTTTTTCCCCTTGTGCTTATGGTATGAGCAAAATCACTTCAGATTTTTTTCTACCTGTGTGAGCCAAAAGAAACCACACAAACAAAAGTGAGAGTGAATTTCGAAAGTGTAGTTATGGAGACCACCTAACGCCCAAATTACTTTCTTTACTAATATCCTACATGTTCTACACCTTTGTGCTTGGCAGCATGATAATGAAAATATTGAAGGCATGGTATGCTGCTGTCGTGTCAGTCTGTTTCTTACAGCCCTAGGTACACATTGTGATGCCTCCAATTATATCCTGCTCTACACATGCTTTCTGTTATGTAGCATTCACTCTTATTGGTGATGTAACCTTTTTCAAAATATTTCTGCAGAAGAATCTTTAGTTATATGGTCTTTCAGCACAAGCAAGTTTGTTTAATACTGAGCTTCTTAGGAAGATGATCAGTGAACTTGTAAGGAGAATTGTGCAAGGAAGCCAAAAAAAAGCACCTTTATTTAATAAAGAAATGCTTAAATCTGCCCCAAATACAGGGTACTTGAACACTCCCCTCTCTTCCCTCTGAAAATATATTCTGCAAATCTTGCCTATGGTCTAATCCTTCAAATGAGATCTGCAATTGCAAAATTATATAATTGGGTAGAAATTAGCTACTCTGGAGAGAGAACTTTATACTGAACGTTTTGATGAGTTTACTTTCCATGCACATGCATCTTGTTAATATCTAATATCTAATCCATAGTATTAAGATATTTGCATGGAAAGCAGAGTAATAGTCCTTGGGAGGAGGAATGAAATCTCCTATATAGTTTCATGGTTTTAGAAATTAGCGTCTGTGGTTTCAGTTAAATTTTATTGCCCTTTCATATGTAGCCTTTCTTTTCTTATAGTGGATCCAGATGACTTCTACATTGTAGAACCTCTGAAGTTTTCACCAGAAAAAAAGGTATAGTAGCTTCCTTCCAGTTTTTGCAAGAAAAAAGTATTTTGAAAACACTACCAGTAGATGGTGCTTTTGTCGGTCACTTATCTACAATCAGGCTTGAAAGAATTGGGCTTTTATCGGTAAATGTCAGTAAATACTGATTTCACCATACACACACAAGCTGATAATAAACATTTACATCAATGATAATAAAAATGTACAGATAGGCATAGCAAGAAAAATGCTGCCTGAGAACTTCAGTTTGATTTAAAGATATTTACTTTGTGTATTTTGCCATGTGATGTTGATGATTTGTTTTACAGTTAAAGCTTTAACTTTTTGAATTTCAGCATCTACAATTATTAAAAAATTCTGGCCCCTCCCCATAATTTACTGCAACTGTGAAAATAAAAATAAAAATTTAAAAATGCTTAAAAATAAACATCAGTATTATCTATCAATTACAAGAGTTCTGCCAAGCCTATGTATGGCCTACCAGTATTCATACTTGAAATTATTTCCTGTTTGCGTTGCACAATCTAATTGTTTCCTTTTTTTCTGCTTTAGAAGAAACGTTGCAAATATAAAAGTGAAAAGATTGAGACTATCAAACCAGCATCAGAGCCTCTGCATCCATTAGCCAATGGGGAAATAAAAGGAAGGAAACCCTTTACGAACCAGAGAGATTTCTCTAATATTGGAGAGGTATATCACTCCTCATATAAGGGTCCTCCATCTGAAGGAAGCTCAGAAACCTCATCACAATCTGAGGAATCCTATTTTTGTGGCATTTCAGCATGCACAACTCTGTGCAATGGACAGACCCAAAAGACAAAAACTGAGAAGAGGGCTTTAAAACGAAGGCGGCCTAAGGTTCCAGACCAAGGGAAGTTCATAAAAACTCTAATACAGACTAAGACAGGATCAATGCCAAGCCTGCATGACATAATCAAAGGAAACAAGGATATAACAGTAGGAACACTTGGTGTCACAGCAGTTTCTGGACAAATCTAAAACTAGTCGAACTTCTCATACAGGAGATTTTTTGTTCATCTGAGAACAGTCTGTATCTTGTGGGAGAGTGGTGGGAGAAGAGATGAACTAACTGGAAAGTATTCAGAAATTATGGTTTCTGCCTCTTTTAAATAGATGGGATTGTGTCAATCTTGGTTATGAGTTTCAGCTTTACAAGGCTGACGACTTCCTATGTGGACAGCTTAGGGGTGGGAGGGATCATTTTATAAAGCCTTTTTCACAATTACTGGGGCAAAGATTGTTGAAGCCCAGTTTGTTGGGTGGAATAGGGATAAAAGCTTAATCCTCTTCCTTTAGCTTTGTTCCTATTTCTTGCACCTTCCCGTATTTATGTGCCTTTTGTCTATTTATAATGCCACTGGAAGAGGGAGAAAGATAAAACTGTCATTTGATTTCTTTTGTAACTTCTCTCGCTTTTTTGAGGATGCAACACTACAGTGCTGTAAAAGGACGTGTTGGCGTTCAGCTGGACTCAGTAATGTGGGCTGGATACTGTAGAAATACTAACATGGTAGACTTGCTGATTTAGATCTCTGTTTTGAAAACTCACTTGGGGAAAATATCTTGTTAGAAGGAATTGTAATGCCATTAATTGCATTTTTAATCAATTTCAGATGTGTATTTTATTTAGATGCGTTAAATTAATGACAGCTGTACAGTAACACTCACTGTATGTGAAGGATCTCATACTGACAAACATGCCTTTGTTTCCCAGACTGACTTTTGGAATTCTCTGTTACGATATTTAACCAAAAAGGATTGATTGCTTTATTTTGGTCACTCTGTTTTCTGTTCTAAGAATTTGGAAATTGGGGACTATCTACAAGGGGAAATGTAAGGGTGACTAGGTACAGCTGAAGATATAACTATCCTAACCAGTGCTGGGTACAAGTGCACATGACAAATGAAAGTGAGTTTGCCAAGCCTTGAAGTCTAACAGCTCAAGTCTATTTAAAAGTGGATATTTCCATAAAGTTTGCTTTTGTATTGGCTAACACATGTGCAGTGTGTGTGTGTGTGTGTGTGTGTGTGTGTGTGTGTTTTGGTACTTTCATATGAGTGTTTTTTTATTTTGACCATGATTGTATATTTGGATAAAATAGAATGTGTGACTGCATAAAATGTTGTGAATGTGTAGCTGAGTGAATGGGACAAAAGGTTATTCCTTTTTGAGAGGAGTTATAGGTTCATGTTGTAAAACTAAGTTAACTTATTAAGCACTTTTAGTGGTACCCTTTTTTAAACAGATCGAATGCCTTTTCTAGGTATTGTATGTAATGTGACTTATTTAAAGCCTTTGTTTTTGCTGCTTTCATGTTAGTTTATAAATACTTTAAAGTGATGTACTTTTAGAGTCGGTCTGCACAATTAGCCATTCAGAGCACATGGATCTGATTTATAGAACATGTAATCAGAAAGAGCTCCAAACAAGAATGAAGAAAAAATGTTTATACTATCTGAGTGCAGCATACAACATTGTGGAACAAGAATATGTAACTACAGAGCTGTAGTGCCATTAGAAACTGTGAATTTCCAAATAAATCTGAACACTTGTCTTATAAATTTAGTGGCTTTTCTTTTCTTTTATAAATCACATGTTAATGGGTTGAAGCTCAAACTCATGAAGCAGTGTGGTTTAGTTCATAGGGCACTGGACTGCGGCCCTAGGAAACCTGGTTCTTCGAGTGCTTGCTCAGGTCGATTCCATTCTAGGTGTGTGCGCGTCCACGTGCACAGTTGTCAGAGACTTTTGTCTTAGCGGTATCCGTAGGGCTGGCTGTGGCGCTCCTTTTGAGTGCCATGCTCATGTGTCAGTATATTAGGCACCGCTGACCCTACGCCCTCTTAGTTCCTTCTTACCGCCCATGATGGTGGGTTGGAGTGCCTTGTCTTGCCTTTAGCAAGAGCATTAGCAGTTCTTCATAGTCTTTTGTTCTACCTAATCTGTACATAGTTAATAGTAGTCAGAGGAGGAACGTAGACTGCATGCCTTGGATGTTAAGCGGGCGCTAGCCTTCTACATCAACAGGACCAAGCCCTTCCATAAGTCTACGTAATTGTTCGTTGCGGTGGCTGACAGTATGAAAGTCACCCTGTATCCGCCCAAAGAATTTCTTCTTGGATCACTGCCTGCATTCGCTTCTGCTACGATCAAGTGAAGGTGCTGCCCCCAGCAACTGTCACCACCCACTCGACCAGGGCGCAGGCCTCTTCCGCAACTTTTCTGGCCCAGGTGCCTATCCAGGACATCTGCAGGGCGGCCACCTGGTCGTCCGTCCATGCGTTTATGTCCCATACGTGCTTACCCAGCAGGCCCGGGCTGATGCTGGCTTTGGCAGAGCAGTACTGCAAGCCGCAAAACTGAACTCTGAGCCCACCTCCATAGATACTGCTTGTGAGTCACCTAGAATGGAATCGACATGAGCAAGCACTCGTAGAAAAAACGGTTACCTTTCATAACTGTTGTTCTTCAAGATGTGTTGCTCATGTCCATTCCATTACCCACCCTCCTACCCCTCTGTCGGAGTTGTCAGCAAGAAGGAACCGAGAGGGCATAGGGTCGGTGGCGCCTAATATACCGACGCATGAGCATGGCACTCAAGGGGGCTGCCACAGCCAACCCTACGGATCCTGCTAAGAAAAAGTCTCCAACAACTGTGAACTTGGGTGCGCACACAGCTAGAATGGAATGGACATGAGCAACGCATCTCGAAGAACAACAGTTATGAAAGGTAACCGTCTTTTCTAATCCTGGCTCGGCCACTGATATGCTATGTGATCGTGGACAAGTCACTTTACTGCTCTGTGCTTTGGTTTTCCCTCCCATCATCTGAGTTCTCTATTTAGATCCTAAACTCTTAGGGCAAGGACTTTTTCTTATTATTTGTTTGAAGAGCACCATGCAACAGGGAGCCCTGATCTCAGGGTCTTTAGATGTTGCTGTAATATTAATAAGCTATTTTACCATTTCTGTCAGATATAAATGTTGATTTATCATTTCAACTTCACTGGTAAGAAATTTAATTTGTGCAACTTTTTCTTGTTCCGGTGTCTTTAATTGTAATTTACCCAGAGCATCATTTGAAGACAAAGTGGGCATACTGTCACAGTTCCTCAGGCAAGAGGTTGTTAGGCCTGTGTTTAGCAAGATGTCAGGATCAAGAATTTTTTTTAATTATTGCCCTGTCTCCTATAGCCTTCTCTTTTTTTGTAAGATTATTGAAGTTGTGATGAAGCAATTGGAGCCTTGAACTTTTGACGCCTTTCAGTTCGGCTTTAGGTGTGAATACAGTACAGGCACTGCACTGGTTGCATTGGTCATTCTCCACAGTGGCCTACAGAAGATAGGTGACCATACTGACTTTTACAGGTGTTGAATTTTGATAATGTTTTTACCATACAATGGTTTTGACTCTATGGACTCTGATGGAGTGTTTGGAGTCAGTTATCTCTTTGAGGTTCCAGTGGGTGGGTTTTAGGTTGTTTGCCACAAGGGCTTTTATTTATGGGTTACCATAAGATTCTATTTGTCATTCTCTGTTCAGTGGGTAAGTAAGGCAATTAGGGAAGTGTGACCAATATCACTGCCAACTCTTGATTCCTGCTTGGGCCTTTGGCGTCTCCCCTTCTGTTCTCCATGTGCCGGTTACTCTGGGATAGGACACCTTTGTGCAGGGTACTTAACCAAGACTACATAGGGGTATGTAGCTTCCTGAAACTTTTTACCATTCAGTTCTTCTCCTTCAAGGTTATGAATATCTCTCTTCTCCGGGGATGTCTGCATGACATTATTCATACAACAATAACTTTAACCAAAAGAAAGATTTATTAAAAACAAGGAATGGGATTTAAAAAACCTGTTTCTTAGGAGCAGCAAAGAGTCCTGTGGCACCTTTTAGACTAAGAGACGTATTGGAGCATGAGCTTTCATGGGTGAATACCCACTTTGTCGGACATCCGACGAAGTGGGTATTCACCCACGAAAGCTCATGCTCCAATACGTCTCTTAGTCTAAAAGGTGCCACAGGACTCTTTGCTGCTTTTACAGATCCAGACTAACACGGCTACCCCTCTGATACTGTTTCTTAGGATATGTCTACACTAGCACTTTTGTTGGTAAAACTTTTGTTGGTCAGGGGAGGTGAAAAAACACACTCCTGACTGACAAGTTTCACTGACAAAAGCGCCGGTGTGGACAGAGCTATGTTATTGGGAGATGCTCTCCTGCCAACATAGCTACCGCTGCTTGTTGGGGGTGGTTTAATTATGCCAGTGGGTGAGCTCATGAGGCCATTTGAGATGTAGTTCAATCAGTATGCAGCGGGAAAACATATTTTTGTCTCTAATCAGAAGCACATACTTTATTCTTCCTTAGGCCTAGCTGAGACAGAGACCTGGAATGAAATCAAACTGGTTGGAGTTCAAGACAGGTGATCCTGGTTGTAAGGAGACGTTTCTAGAGCATATAGCAACAATAGGTTCTGCCCCATTGATTGAGGTGGTATGCCCATATTTCCACAGTAGTGCTTTTGTATCATGGACTGCTTCCAGAATCTTTTATAGCACAAATGGCCACCAGCACCTTTTCATCATACGTTTGTCTTGATAGTAGTGACTGTTTTTACTTTGCCATAGTTGTGTGCCTTTATCTCCAGATAGGATTACTGCCAAGTGCAAACAGGTTATCCTTGAACTTGGAAACTACAGCTAGGGAAGAATATTGCTAATTGCTTGCTTAATTGTTTTGGCCATGTGGAGCATATTACACCTGTTCTCCAAAGGCAGCACTAGCTATTTCTGGTTGCATTTCAGGTTATCAATAAATTCCTTATGACTCGAATCCAAGAAGCCCAATCTCTCCCTCTGTGCTATCATGATAGGTGAGACCAGTGGGGGCTGTTTTATTTATAGACTCTCTACATCAGGGACAGGACATTCTTTCATGAGAATAGAATTGCGAGGAATGCAGTGACCTTTACTCTTGAGTGGAAGTCTTTATCGCTTCTCAATAAGTGGTATATACTGTCTTAGCTCTTGTCTATACTAAGAGTGTGCAGCAAGCTGGGGTATAAATATACATGCACTAGAATGCTGTGAACTCTCTGTATGGATCCTGCAACTTCACACTAAAAGTTCTCTAGTGCATAGTGACCTACTCTTGTTTCAAAGCAGAGTAGATCAAATCGCACTAGAGAACTTGTAGTGCGTGGCAGCGGGGTCCACATGGACAGATGGTGCATTGTAGATTTACACCCTAGCTTACCGTGCACTAACTATTCATCTTAAATAAGTCCTTAAATTTCTACGCATCTCTCGAGACTGTGATAGCTTACCTGGATATTTATAAGATGTGCCTAAGTATTGCATGCCATGCTGTGGAGTCTTCTACGATAAGATCCTTGCCTTCCTGGTAAGTTTAAAATGAGCAATATTTGAATATTTTATGAAGTCACTGTGCATACTACTGGTTGTACTGTACTAGTAGCAGCAGCAGAATTTGTCCTGCCATTGTGGTCGTTCCGTGAGCACAGGCGTCAAAGGTAATACACAACTTGATAGCTCTGTTCCCTCCCCATTGTTAACTTGGATGGAGGAAACTTCTTAAAGACAGTGTGGCTCTTAAAATTCCCCACTGCAGCCTAAAGCCGAAGGCGATGAGAGAGAACTGTTCTATACAATAACTTTTGGGAGTGCTCAGATACCATAGTGATGGGTGCCATATCTAAACCTAGAGCAATAGAACAAAATCCTTCATAAAAGTAAGATTTTTAAAATTCCATTAAACTTCTTATAAAAGGGCATCTTTGACTGAGTGAAATTTGACCGCTCTGATTAAAAGAACCAAAGAGAATGGCAGCTTAGTGACTTTCCACTGGAAGAGAGCTCACATAACCACAACATCATCTTCAAGTAGTGTCTGTGATGCTCCACTTCAGATGCACATGCACCTCTCGCCCTTGATTGGAGATTTATAGCTAGCAACATCTGTTCGGCCCACACCTGTGCCCTCTGCCTCCTCATGGCAGAGACAGGCTACGTGGGGGTTGTGATGGGTTCCCTTTGGGGTGCCACCTGGAACTGGGGTACCTCTGAGCCCTCTGACCCATCAGCCTGGGCTCCCTCTTGCACTGTGCTGCTGTGACAAGCTGCAGACCTACTCCCAGTCTTACACTTCCATCAGCATTCACACAGGCAGGGACAAACCAGATGCAGTTACATGCAAGCTCTGACAAGGCACTGCATGAACCAACAATAGAGAGGCTACAGCCAAAATAG